ACAAAATCAACACAACAAAAGAAAGACAAAGAAAATCACTAAACAAAATAAAAGCACAGAAAAATATATGGAACAAGGACATCAACAGCATCACATGCAAAAAATGACAACAGTAAATTCATACCTATTTACAATTACATTGAATGTAAATGGATTCAATGCACCATTCAAGAGACAGTAACCAAATGAATAAGAAAACCTGGCACATCAACAGGTTGCCTACAAGACACAAACTTAAGACATGAAAATAAAACCAAGCTAAAAATCAAAGGATGATAAATAGAAATCAGGCAAATTGCAACTAAATAAAACAGGCATGGCTATGGTGGTTTATGTCAAATAGCCAATCCTGGCTGAAGGTAGGGGTGCAGTTTAACCTATCAATTAGGTCACAGACTGAGGACACATCCTTAGGGGTTTGGCCTTGTGTATAAGAGAGATATCTCGAGCAAAGCTCAGCTCTCTTTTGCCCTTTGCCTTCTGCTAGAGCCAGATCCTGCATCTGGCTTTTGTTGCATTGCCTGTTGGCTCCTGATCTAAGGTGCCATCAGCGGTCTGCAGAAATTAGATTCATCTAACCAATCTCAATTTCATTTACTGTAGTATTAATTTATGGGGGTGGGGGCCCAGCCCCACCCACTACTACCCACGGGTTCAGTAATGCACAATTGTACGGTTAAGTTATATATATATATTAAAGTCATCGAGTGCATGAGCAATAGAAGAGGTATTACAATAATGGAATCAGACACATTACATAGTAGCATTACTCACCTCAGCCCAGCTTGGTGGTCCATATGGAGAGAGGGGGAAGGGAAAGAGGTTGGGAAAGGGAACAAGGGAGAGAGGACAGGAGAGGAGAGGAGGAAGAGAGGCGAGTGGGACCAGTGAGAGAGAACTCTATTGCTGACTCAGGCCTATATACCTTTGGGACGTGCAAGCCCACCAATCACAGGTAAAGACTTTTGTCACAGGAAGGGGTTGCACTATAGGTTATACAGCAATGAGAGGGGTGGTCTAGGGACATACATGCAACAGGAAGGGGGCTTGAGGGTATACATGCGGCAAAATGGGCGGATGCTAGATTTAGGATGGCAATTTAACTTTGACCTGTTCTCTGGGTGTCCATAGGAACCACTATCAGTAGGGTGTAAACCCCACCTACAGGAACCAAATAGATGACTGCAGGTCTGTCCATTGTCTTCAGCAGCAGGGAGTGGGGCCCACTGCAGTCCTGCAACTGATCACCTTTGGTGGGGGAATGCCTGTGCATGTGACCTCCCCCCACAATTTACCTCTGCATCCATCACTCTGTGGTCTTCCTGCTGCATCATCCTGCTCCCTGTTCATCAGCTTCCACAGCCACGTGAGTGAAGAGAAGCCAGATTTGAACTGCTCTGGATTTAGCTTCCTCTACAGCCGTACAAGATATTTGGTTTTGCTTCTCCAGAGAAGCCACCTTAACATAATGTCAATGTTAATTTTCATTAAAACTGACATGAATGACAAAACAAATACAAAACATAAGAACGGGTATTATATAATGACAAATGGACATTGCCATAACAAATATCAATGGACTCAACGAAAGAGCTCCAAATCACACATATCAAACACTAACAGAACTGAAAAGGGAAATAGGCAACTCCACAATAAGTGGAGGATTTAATACACCACTTTTGATGAAGGACAGCACAACTAGAGAGGAAACTCAACATAGATAGAGAAGTTCTAACACTACACAATTATGTTAGTCTGCGTAGACTAGAGAAACAAATACATTGACACTCATGTTAATAAGTAAGGGTTTTATATAAAAGATCAATTGTATATTACGCAAGCATCCCAGTCTAGTCTAGAGCAAGTCTATCAATTTGATATTAGCTCATATGTCTGATACCAATTTATAAATTCCTTTTCAGACTCACTAAATACATGCAGTGACACCAAATACTGGAAGATCACAGGCCAGTGGGAGGAGAACGTATTGTGGATCCAGTGGTGGTGTAAGCATCTCAGCACTGGCAGGGGTCTCCTCATGACTCCTTCAGTTCCAAGGCTCTAGTGTAACTCCATGTGTCTTATCCACAGGAATGTCTCGCTGGGAGTGAGTGTGTTTCCTATCTCCAGCAAGGTCATCAAACTTCGATCTGATTGACAGGCTAAGCTCCACCCCTTCACTCTTAAGGCTCAAATTGACAACAGATTAAGTAACTACAACAACAATCAACCAATGATCTCACAGGCTTAAGCAGAACACTCTATCTAGGAAAAATGATCTGCACATTGTTGTCTAGT